TTGGCTTTGAAGCAAAAAACATGTCGATGTCCTTATTAACACCTTCCATATTTGCATACGTTTTCCCATTAAGATGGTATTGCAGCAAATCAAAAAGATGGTAATCTGATGGTGCTATATCTGGAGAATATGGTGGATGGGGGAGAACTTCCCAACCTAACTCCATAATCTTGTGTTGCGTCGAATGTGCCACATGTAGACATGCATTATCGTACCTTTCCAATTGACAAGTGAAGAGAGTTTCTGATTAAGGACTTGATTAAATGTTCCAGTTGCTGACTATAGATCTCTGCATTGACAGTTCGCTGTGGATTGAGGAGTTCAAAATGAATTACTCTTTTGATGTCCTACCAAATGCAAAGCATCACTTTCTGCGGATGGAGTTCAGGTTTTGTGGTCAGAAATGGTTTTTGTCTATGACTGAGCCATTCTTATTAGCATAGAGAATCCATTTTTCATCACCGGTGACAGTTCTGTCCAAAAATGGTTCACGCATATTCTGTGCTAGAAGAGACAAAGCAATGTTTGCTCGTTGGAAACGATGATCACTGGAGAGTTCATGAGGCACCCAAACATCTTCTTTATGGAGTTTTCTCATATTCCTTAGATGTTTACATATTGTTTCATAAGAGACATGCAATTTCAGGGCCATTTCACAAGTGCGTTGCCTTGGATTAGACTCAACAAGCATCTTCAGAGGATCAGTATCAATTCCAACATGTCAGCCCCTGCCATCATAGTTTTTAAGGCTAAAGTTACCTGAACGAAATTTGCTGAACCATCATTGACAGTTACGAATGTTCAAAGTATTTCTATAAACTTCTTTGATATTTTTTGTGGCTAAAGGGGCAGTGTTTCCCTTCTTGTATTCATACAGCATTACATGCTGAATGTGGGTTACATTGTTTGCCATCACTATAAAGGATTAGAATATACTAAACTTTATGCATTATATAGGCTACACTAACATGATGTTTAGGTGGTTCATTTAACTATTATACATGATATACTTTTTTTGGGGGTGGTTATAGAAAGTGTTCCAAAACACGACATTAATTTCTTGATCACCTAATACATACAATGCAATTTGAAGCATTAAATAATGATGATTTTATATTTTTAATTTAAAAACATTCTACTTTGTAGTAAAATATGTGCAACAGATGCCAGCTGTTGAAAACCCAATATTATTATTTCTCCTCAAGATGTGTGGAAGGAGAGTTAAGTTACATTGCACTTATTGACTTCTTTGATTGTAATTTGAGTTAAGGAACCTTCAATAAATAGATAAGCTGCTACAAAACAGTTGCATTAAGTAATTTTATTGTGATGAAAAAAGTACAGTGGTAGGTATGCAGACTTATAATGCTAAAAATCCAGGTTTACATACCCATGATGGGCACAGCACAGATAGCCCATTGAGTAGCTTTTTGTTTAACTTAAAAAAACAACAACAAATATGATGAAAAAGCTGTTTAATATTCATTGAAATTTTAAATTATAATTTTTTTCTATTAGAATGAACTACACCAGGTGAGATAATAGGAATCATGTTAGTAATTTTCTTGTGAAATAAATTGGAAAAAGTTTAATCAGAAATTTTAAAAATAGTTAAAACGTGTTAAATTAATCTTCAAAAGCTGTTAAATGTATCAGATATTGAGAGCTCTAATCATGAGATTTGAATTAATCTTCAAAAACTGTTAAATGTATCAGGTATTGGGAACTCTAATTCATGAGATTTATATTCTTTTGGTTGAATTTTCTTTTCTTTTTTTATGTAGATTTTTAGTGATTGTTTTCTTGTTGAAATAATGATTCTTTTTAACATTTTTAGTTGATTGTTTCATCAGTTCTCAAGCAAGTGAAAGAACTATTTCTCTCCTTGTGTATCTTTATAACAGTCACCTGGTTGGTGATATGGCTCCCTGTTTGGTGTATTTCAGAATTTTTACCCTCATTTCTGCCTTACAATTTGCAACTTTCTAGGTAAGTGTCACAAGAAAATTAGTAATGATATTTCCATTAGATATAGTGAAATAGGTTCAAATGGTAACAGAAAAATATTTTAAAAATCTAGAAATGTTTGAAAAGATGTTTCACACTCCTACTCGTAATTTCTCTTATTTTCATTATCTTCCAGAATATTTGATAAAATTATTACATTAATGCCATGAACTTTTGAGTATAAAATATTATAATACTTATAAGAAGAACAATCAGTTATTTCTTGAGACTCTTAGTAGTTCAGTATAGAATACAACTGGACAGGTGGTGGTATAATAAAAAAATCTACAATAAGAATAGGAATCAGAAGAAAAGAGGGAACCTTTAGAAAATAAGTAAATTAAAGGTAAGACAATATAACTTTGTAGTTGCTAACTGAAGTTGATTGAGCACAGATTTGTTTTAAAAATCATCTTATTAAGAGCATTTTACCTACTTACTTCCTTTCGTCAATTTTCACTAGTTGATTCTCAATAGAACAAAATTTATAAGTTTAATTAAACTTAAACAATTTTTTTTTGTCATCAATTAAGCGTGTATATTGCATCTATTTAATATTTGTTTTTTTAAAATGTCAAATTATTGATCTTGCAAGTCAGATTTTCTGAGGTATAGTTCAAATAATTATTCTACTCAAATTGGCTTTAAAACCAATGTTCTTTATTTATTTATGGCAGACTTCTGATATTTATACTTCAGCTACTTATGCATGAATCAACATACAGACCAATGGCTGAGAAGTAACTTTAATATAGAATAATAAACATATTGGCACATGACTATACTTAATAATATCTTTCTTTGATGGTATTACAGTTTTTTGTTTTGTCTAATTTGTCTGAATATCTTTCTCCAATCTCATATCAGTAGTAGTGTAGTTTAATAATAGACAGCATTGAGAGGAGTTTTGAAGATAGTAGATCTTGCAATATTTTTAAAACTTAAAACAATTTTTATAGAAAATATATAACACTTGTAACATATATAATGTTATCAGCTATTATCGATTTTATTAGCAAAAAAGCACTAAAGAAGAAAAAAAATATTTGAAATAAGCACTAGGTCTTAACACTGTCATGCCAAATAGAGAAGTGAAGATCTGGTTCAACTGCATAGAGAGAGCTAGCTATGATAGGAGGGTTTGTCACACTCCTATTAGTGGAGGACTGTTGCATTTTAATTTGCATGCTTAAACGCAGCTGAACCATGTGATATACACATAGAATTAGATGGGAGTTCCAGGGCTAGTGGCAAACAAAAATTTGCATACTAGAAGGCAGTCTTAATGTAAGCCAATGAAATGGACTCAGTCATGCAAAAAATTAACTTATATTTTTTTTCAAGTATTTAAACCAACTCTCAGCCACAACCAAAATGACTGACATTTCTCCTTCAGCATATAATTAGTACTCCATTAATGATCTCAACCCTCAATGGTGAACAAGTCCAACCATGGATGTCCACAAGCCAAAAGGAGGAAATAATTTGTGATCCATTGCTACAAAAGTATGCTCTGCACATTAGGGCTGTGGGTATGCTCTATGGGTGATGGTGACATTCTACTATTTGATTAGACAAGAGTAGCCCAAGAGCTGGCTGTGGATGCTATTGACCAGCTGTCTATAAGTTGAAAATTAAGGACAGCTTTGTGTAGCTGTGGAGCTTTGCATAAAATTATTAAACAAACAGAAGCGTATCATAATGTATTATATTTTTTAAATTAAAAACTAAAATATTTTAAATTATTTGTGTGTTTCAAACTAAAACATGTATAGTTAACCATTTTATGTCTTGTTTACTTTCAGTGAGATGATTATCAGGGACCTGTCCTTAGAGAATATAATCCTGCAGATTTTTCTTCCATTTGTTTTTGACAAAAAAGTTCTCTGCCAACTTTTAAAATCTTTCATCAGTGGATGGTTTTATTATGTGTCAAATTTCTTCCATATCCATTATTTTTTTTTGAAATAAATGATGAACTTGAGCAGGTGAGTATCTAGAAAGAAATTAAAATAATGAATTTTAAGATATCAAGTTCTTACAAAAAGGATTATGATATTAACTATACAATCCTTTCACTGTTCTGGAACTTTTGGGTAGGCTAGGGATAAGCAGAAAGCAGGAAACAAGAATTAAATGAACTCTCTAAAAATTAATAAATTTATTATTCATTCATTTTTCAGTTTTTTCCGTGAATTTTTGTTTACTGTATTTTATTAACCACTTGTTCTATGTATAAGGTACATGTACAGGTAAGTATTGGATCTTGAGTAATGCTTAAGAAGTTTTAAACTGTAAAATTTACAAACATTATATTATGGGTAAGCATATATTAAATAATATTTGCCATTGTCTGCATGCTTTAAGCATTTTGATGATCTTCTATCAGTTAAAGTTCATGATGCCAGAAAAACACGTAGGCTCAAGAAGTCTTGATAGAAATGAGTTAAATCAGTTAAAGTTAATATTGTAGAAGACTGCATGAGCATATCAAGATATCAAATGTAGTGTTATAAGACATTTTATCATATTTACTGTTTCATTCACCATATAATAAATAGAGAAAAGAACAAGAGACTAATGAAGAACTGGATTGGCAACAAATACCTGAAGAAGCTTTAAAAAACAGCAAGTATGAAAAACCTTCAAATTTTTCAGTCAGGGTAAGATATCCTTTTCATAGAAACAACCTGAAATTACAAACGTTTTTCAATCTTATTGAGATTTTATAGTTCTTTTCTGTGAAGGAAAGCATACTGCATAAAATAAATAGAGGATGTTTGGTATTTGTAATGTTATAACTATAACAAACCAAAAGCACTTTTATAAACTATTTGTCAGTTGATTTCTATCATTTTGATAATTGTATAATTTGCATCTAATATCACATGATTGATCATCAGATACCAGATTTATATAAAAATGAGCTGAAGGTGACAATTGACATTATTTTATAACAGTAGTTTTGCCTTATTGTAGATAAAGTAGTGGTATCATAAAATAAATTATCCTTTAGTTGTTTCATGCTGTGTATGAAAGTTTTGGTATTTGTTATTTTTATTTGATATTATTTTGTAGTGAAATGTAAACATCTGTGGTATATGAATACACCATGCATTTCTTGTAATATTATATTTACTGTGAATTTAACCTTTATTCTGAGTATGTTAGGGTTTCACATAACATATGGTCAAGAAAGCTGTAAAGTTCATCTTAATGTAGTTGCCTTTATTCCTTTGAAGATAGTAACTGTTCTATGTATGGGATATTGCTGTAATACTGCATGTTATGCAAGAAACTCAACAGCATTGTCCTCCAATGATAGGTCAGATGATATCTTGAGGTTACAACCTCCTTTATACTTCAATGGGATCAACTAATGGTGACACAGGTTGTGTATGTATCCCAAGAATAGTATCATAGAATTTGGTATATAATGTATATTGTAATCTCTAGATTAGCTTTCTCAAGCTCAAGCCTTCAATTTAGTAGTCCTTTCTTTGTAAATAGTAATATTCTTCTAAAATTTAAACTATAATGTTAATTTGTGCTTAATAAACATATTTATAAGTTCTTAAGAGAGTTTAGAGGGATAAGTATAAAGTAAAGATGATGTCCTTCATTCTTACACACAATAATTTGATTGTTTTTTGAGTGTAACTAAAGATTGTTTCACTGTTTTTTGTACATTTGTGTCCAGTCTTTTTTCTCAAACCCACAATTACTTCATAATAGGTATCTTGTTGACCCTCTTGTTATTAATTAGAGAGACCTATTCTACTGCACTAAGATCAACTCAGTTTTACTTCAATATGCTGCAGAATGGACATCTTATTGTAACGTTCCAATATGGTACGTTACCTCATCTAACATAAATAGCAATTTTCATTCATTGATGCCCTCTATATGCAAACAATTTTTTTTGCACCAGGCAAAAGGTTTTATTCTCTTCACACTCTGAAACTTCCACCAGTCGAATGTGCTTTCGTTTATTCTCTTAATTTTGTCCAGATTTGACTAATCATGTTTTACTCTGACTATTCGATGGTGGCTTCTATCACTCATCAAGAGGACGTTCATTCTTATTCTTTTGTGGTCTATAGTGGATCTCCATTTTTGAACCCACACACTTAACATGTCTCCTGGAGGGTCGTGTTCCAGGTATTTCTGTCTTCTGTTGCTTGACTTTCCAGTCACATCACATTTTCTCCCAAGGAGTGACCTCTCAATCCTCCAAATTTTTGGAGTCTCTGCCTCCTGAAGGATACTCTTCCACATGAAGTTTTTGAATTTTTTTTATAAATTCCCAGGTAGGTACCTCTTTTGTTTTACATCCAGTTTATAATGTTCATTTTTTTTATCCTTCCATCAGTTTTTCCACAGTATGTTTGTTCATCCATATCACTCTGGTTCAAGTCTTTCTAATTAAATTTCGTGGCAGACACAAATCTGGGTTTCTTTGCTGTTTCAGTTCAATTGTTTCCTTTGTTCTGGATCATTTTTATTAACCTGCATTTTTGTGGCTCATGTGATATATTTTTTTTATTTTTCTGTTTCTTATCATCTTCCACATTTCTTATCAGCCGGTTCCAGATGACCTTGTAGGTCTGGTACATGCTTTGGGTTGCTTCATTGTTTTTAAGGTTGTTTTCCATTGAATCCATTTCCCATGATTTCCTTCCCATACTCCACTGGGTTTGGATTGTGATTCGATTGACCTTTTATTCCTTGTGTCTTCACTCCAATCATACACCCTCCCTTTTCCCCGTATATCAAATCTGTCATCTGTTGAAGATACTTCATCTGTCAAGCACTAGGCCTACACCTCATACATTCATCTCCCATACTTTACTTTGGGTAGCTGTTTCTTCCTTGTTGTGGTACCATAATCCACCTGTTACCATCCTTCACTCTTTTGTTAGTCTGTGACTAGGTAAGTTACCTTTTAGTTATATATACCTTTTATTTTTCAGGGGCATGCCCCTCTTTTGTTTTATGGACCCTGCTCTGTGGCGAGTTGTGCCTGTCCAGTTATGACTTAACAATTACAATTCCATGGCCACTAAATGCATACTGCTGAGATGAGTATTGGATTGTTGAATTAACACTATGTAACTATGACTCTCTTAAGGTAGCCAAATGCCTCGTCATCTAATTAGTGATGCGCATGAATGGATTAACGAGATTTCCACTGTCCTTATCTACTATCTAGTGAAACCACAGCCAAGGGAACGGGCTTGGAAAAATCAGCAGGGAGTGACTATGACTCTCTTAAGGTAGCCAAATGCCTCGTCATCTAATTAGTGACGTGCATGAATGGATTAACGAGATTCACACCGTCCCTATCTACTATCTAGCGAAACCACAGCCAAGGGAACGGGCGTGGAAAAATCAGCGGGGAAAGAAGACCCAGTTCATCACTACAAGATCATTTGTAGGTTCATCCTTGCGATATATTTGCTTCATTAATATGCCAGTGCCGGACCATACTCACCCATGGACTTCCTGGGTAAAGCAGAAGGGGATAGCTGCCCATCCTCGCCATGAGTGGTAGACTGTGGAGATATCCTCCAGAATGTGTTAATGGCAAACAAATTATATATATATATATGTATAAATGGATAAAGCTTGTGGTAATAGCACCCAAAAAACGTTGGGGATATCCCATCTATCAAGCAAAATCCAAAATGCCAAAGTTAAACAAGTTGACCATCATGGAAAATCAAAACAAGAGTAAAGGGGTGAGTGCTTAAACCCACAACATCTCACCTCCTACTGCCCTTCGCTGTCTGCAGCCAGATGTGGAAGGCAGTTACCCTTAAAGTTATTTAAGATTAAAAAGTAGAAATTTACCATTTTATATACTATCTCTAAACTGCATAAGAATCCTGTAAAAGTTAGATTTATTACTAATTCTTTAACTCTGCTACCAAATCAGTTTCCATTGTACTTAACAATGTTACTTTTGTGTTATCAAAACATTCAGAAAATTTGTTTTTGGATTCAGATTTGTTTATTTTTTTTGTATTATCAAAAATAATAATCCAATTATAGAATGTCTAAATAATCTAAATTCTTTAAAACAGCCAATTCAGTTGCAACTTACGATTTTACCACTGTATATACTTCAACAAATTTAAAAGACCTTTATGATGCAGAGATGGGTATTACAAAATATAACTTCAGTAAGATCCAATGAAGAAACATACTGTATATAATAGCTATATAACTTACTCAACAGATCTATAAACAAACAGTGTGTATTCCAATTGGTGCTAATTTCAAATATGGCCAATTTGTATTTGTTCTTCTATGAATATTAATTTAAAAAAAAATTAGATCTCATTTCATTTAACTAAACATTCTGCTGTATTGATGATTTAATTTCGATGGATAATTTAAACTTTGCCCCAAATATACTATATTCTAAGGAATTGACTAAAGAAAAAAAATCAAAAGCAATGATTATTAAGCTAATTATCCAGATGTGGACATTTATTTTGTAGAAGGCAGAGTTCATTTGACCATTTTTGATAAAAGAAGGAAATTTAATTTTCTCATCCTTAGTTTACCTACTCCCCATAGTGTTATTTCTAAGTTTTGTTAAAAGGGATTATTATATCACAACTGAAAAGATTTTTAACCTATGTATTAGTAATAACTCCTTCTTTATTCATAAATAAACTAAAAAATAATGGATATAGAGATATACAACTAAAACATTTCTTTACTATTGTATATGCCCCCAGTGGCACAGCGGTATGTCTGCGGACATAAAATGCTAGAAATCGGCTTTCGATACCCGTGGTGGGCAGAGCACAGATAGCCCATCGTGTAGCTTTGTGCTTAACTGCAAACAAACACACAAACTATTGTTTATAATAAATATAAATTTATTTTAAATAATAAACTTTCAATTATGGAAAACTCCTTAATTAGAGGTCGTTAGTTTATCAAGGGTGACCTTGAATAACTAACTTGGTTATAAAACTAGTTTTCTATTCAGTATGTTGGGACTGGAAAGACCAACTTCAAGTAGCTGGGCCTGTCTCAGCTTTCCTGTGTCATACTTGAATAAGTTTTCGACAATTTATAAGCAAGTTACTTTTTTTTCTAAGACCTTTATAAGAGTTGTGGTTGGGACTTCTATACTGTAGAAATTTTGGGTAGTTCTGTTTCTACTTTTAAAACTTAAGACAGACAGTGAAAGGCAGTAGGAGATGAGATGTTGTGGGTTTAAGCACTTACCTCTTCACCCTTGTTTTGATTTTCCATGATGGTAAACATGCTTAACTTTGGCATTTTGGATTTTGCTTGATAGATGGGATATCCCAAATGCTTTGTGGGTGCTATTACCACAAGCTTTATCCATTTATGACTATGGATGACTGACTGGAAGCGAAAGTAGATGAATTAAATGATTATAAATTCTTTATTGTTTAACAGTGCTGATCTAAATCGCCTATTAAAAATAATTGTAATTGATAATCATTGAAGTATTTATCTCTCTCTATATATATATATATATATACTAAATATACATAAATGATGATTAAAGCATCAGTTGAGAATATGGTGTTGTTGTTTTGCTGGTGTAGATGATGGGAGGTTCTTCACTATATAACATCAGAGTGAGCCATCAAAATTGCATTTCATTCGATTG